GCCCGCAGCATGGCGAAGTGGCCTGAAGGCTGTCACCATCAGAACAGTCCCTTGGGCGCTCCTGGGTGTTTGCGGGGAAGCGCCGCGCTGCAGCCGGAGGCAGCTACGTTTCCGCAGCCGTCCTACCTAGCAGGGGAAACGGCGAAGCACGCGGCAGTCTCCGCTCGACTCAGATTCCCGCATGCACCATCCGCCAGGCACCCTCGCGATTACGGCAGCCAGGACCCCTCCGGCTCCAGCGCCTTCCCTGATTCATTCCACTTGCGTCCGCCCTCATAGTTCGAAAGGGCCAATCAGGCGGCGCGAGGCGGGGCCAAACTCGAGGGGAAGGCGGGGCTAGGTGAGGCGCGGAGCGCGGGCAATTGCCCGCGGTCTTGGCGTGACCCGTCGCGTGGGCGCGCTCGCCGGGCCGCTCGGCTGCGGAGCAGCGTGGCGCGGCCGCTTCGCGGGTGGCAGCCGCTGTGGGGTGCTGTCTCGTCCAGTGACAGGCTCTCGTCTATGCTCGGCCGGCCGCCTCGCCAGGCAGACTGTCAGGCATCAAAAGAGAGGACAAGGAGAGAGAGGCTGCTGCAGTGGAAGCCTCATTGCAAAGCCTTAGCCTGAGGATACAGCCTGTTCTAGATTCAGGGAGGGCGGGTAGTTGTGCCTTTTAAATGCCCCCCATAGGATTTGGAAAAAGGCCTCGAAGCGAACTGGAACGCTGCAAAAAAGGTGGACTCGGACGCATGTTCCATCTAGTTGATACTCAAAGGCTCCAGTGCCATGCCCACCTAGGAGTAAGACTCATTGAACTCAACGGGACTCGCCTCTGGGTAGATAAGCATATAGACAATTTTGGTGCAAAATGAACAGTCTGTATGCATTACCCATATGCCTACTGTGATCTGACCCATTTATTTGAAGTGTTAGCCTACCAGTTGCGTACCCACCAATGGTATCTGCTAGCACAGTGATGGCGAACCTTTTAGGGACAGAGTGCCCAAACTGCGACCCAAAACCCACTTATTTATAACAAAGTGCCAACACTGCAATAAAACCTGAAAACGGAGGTTTTAGTTTAGAAAAAACAATTCACAGCCAGTTCAAGCAAATACATATATATCCTTGGTAGTGCGCAGACCAAAAGCTCAGACGAGGTGCAGCTAATGAGTCAAGGCTCATTGCCTGGCGCCACTACTCCTTTCCAAGCATGCGCATGGCCCGTTATCCGATGCTCGGCTGCTGGGGTGCTGCTGGTGTGACTTGGCTCATGGGCCGACAGGGCTCTGCATGCCCGCTGTGGCACACGTGCCAGAGGCTTGCCAGCACTGGCCTAACCCTACCCTGGTGCACTTTCCTAACCCTAATATAGGGTTAAAGTTCCATTGAAAGGGGCAATTTTGAAAAAGCCTTCCTTGCGTAGCTGCTTCTGCACAGCTCATCATTTCTGCCCATTCTAAACACATTCCAGCCATCAAAATCATGCCAGGACACCTTGTTTTTCTAACCCTAACCCTGCCCTGGTGCACACCCCTAACACTAATATCGGGGTGAAATAACATTGAAAATAATACAATTTTGAAAAAAGCCTTCCTTGAGTAGCTTTTTCTGCCGAGCTTATCATTTCTACCCCTTCTAAACACATTCCAACCATCAAAATCATACCAGGATACCTTGTTTTTCTAACCCTAACCCAGTGCTGGTAAACCTTTTAGAGACCGAGTGCCCAAACTGCAACCCAAAACCCACCTATTTATCGCAAAGTGCCAACACTGCAATAAAACCTGAAAACTGAGGTTTTAGTTTAGAAGAAACAACTCACAGCCAGTCACAACAAATATATATGTATATGTACTAGGCAGTGCACTGACTGGCCATGGGAAAGCTCAGATGAGTCATGGCGAATGAGTCACAGCTCGTGATGTCATCGCCTGGCACTACTGCTTTCCGAGCATGCTCATGGCCCCTATGTGTGCTGTTATCCAATGCTCGGCTGCTGGGGTGATGCTGGGGCGGCCTGGCTTGTGTGCCAACAGAGAGGGCTCTGCATGCCCGCTGTGGCACACATGCCATAGGTTCACCCCCACTGTGTTAGTACCTCATACATACTGGGCTGATGGACGTGGTTTTCTCCACTCCGTCCTTCTGATAGTAATCCCTCCAGCCCCCTGACAGTACTGAAAAGGATTAGCAAATGGGGGTAGCTGTGGAGTGTGTGGGGGTAGAGAATCCACCCCACATGAGCAAAGGGATTTTCTGGGAATAGAGCCCTTTCTTTCACTGGCATTTCCTTCCTTTCACAGGAGGCAAATCATGGATCTAGCTCTTGCATTTACATGCTAGGGACATGCATGAAATGCTCTTTAGGAGTATGTTACCTGGTTTCTGTATGTAGTCTGTTACATGTATATGGCTTGATATATGTGATAAATGTGCCTAGATGGATCCATTCTGCTGTACTGACAGAGTTAGCAGTAGTAAGAATTACATGTTTGAGTGTCTGCATTGCACACAAAGCACACGTGGGATTCTCTATATAGATGGGATTCTGATACTTCCCATCTGTGTAGGAAACTTGTTTTATGTGCAGTTACAGTTGATCCACGCAGACATGGCAATCATTTGAAGACAGCAGCAATCAGTGATTGTGAATTGTGGTTGTGTGTGAATTGGTCATAGAATCACAGAGTTGGAAGAGACCTTGGAGATCATGTAGTCCAACTGCCCACTCAGTGCAGGCTCTGTAGGGATGAGGAGTTGCCTCTGTTAGGACGCTTCTTTGGACATTTGGCTGAAATCTGCTTCCCAGCAATTTCCTACTATTGATTCTACTCCTACCCTGGAGCAACAAAGAATCATCTTTCAGATATCTGAAGTCTGCTATCATGCTTCTCCTTCTGTAGGAGAAAGAAACCCAGTTCTTTCAGCCATTCCTCAAATGACATTCTTGGATTTCCCATTTGTCAATGAACTCCTTAAAATGAGGCACTCAGAATTAAATGAAGAACTGTTATTTATGTCCCATTACACTCATGCAGCTCAATATTGTTGGCTTATATTCATCTTGGAAGCCACCTAGATCCCATTCAAATGTATAATATCCAAGCCAAGGTTATGTCCCACACTCTATATTTTTATCTTTCAATGCAAGTCTTTACCCTTATCTCTGATAAAATGTATATTGTTAGATTTGGCCTATTGTTGCAGCCTGTCTAGAGTCTTTTGGATTTTGATGCTGACTGCTCCTCCTAGTTTTGCATCAGTTACAGCTTGATAAACAATCCCTCTGCTCCCCTCATCCGAGTCAATATAAAACTGCTTAACAATGTAGGGCTTAGGACAGAGCTATGCTGTGCTTAAGACCTCTCCCTTCAGGAGGATGCTGAACCATTAATTAGCAATTGCCGAGTATGGCTGTTCAACCAACTGTGGATCCACCTAACAGTAGTATTCACCAACTCACCTTTTCCCAGTCTGTCCACAAGGTTATAATGGGAAATACGTCTTTTCTGAAACCAAGGTGTACTACATTAACAGCATTCCTAAGACCTACCACACTAGAGACTTGATCAAATAAAGGAGATAAGGCTGGTCTGGTATGATTTATCCCCAGTGAACCCATGATGACCCCTAGTAATCAACCCATTATTTTCTAGGTGCTTACATTTATTTATTCGTTTGTGAGAGAATTTTGCTTAGTAGTGGGTTCAAGATGACTGATATGTCATTTCCTGGATTGACATATTCCCTTCCTGAAGATAAAGACAACAATTGCCTGTCTCCATTCTTCTAGTACTTCAGCTGTTCTCCTGGAGTTCTCTGAGATTAAAGGCAGCAACTCTAAAACAGTGCCCACAAGTTCCTTAAGCACGCAGAGATGTAATTCATTTGTCTCTTGAAACAATAGCAACCTTAAAAGTAGCAAAGTGCTCTTCAACCATTTCCTTAATCATTATGCTTGCAAATCCATCTCTGCATTCTTTGTTTTCCTTTTCCAGGTTAAACACAGCTTCCCTTCTTGGGGAAGACTGAGGCAAGCTAGGAACTGAGTAGTTTCCGTTTCTCCCACACCAGTTAACAATTCACCATCATCTCTAAGCAGTGGACCTACCACTTCCTTGATGTTCTTATTTCTGATAGTTATATGTGCAGAACTTCCATATCACACAAAGCATAATACATTTTAATGGTGTTAAGTCCACTTTCACCTCCCAGGCATCAAGTGTAGACAAATCAGCAGATGCATATACAGATATGAACAGGCCTGAGTGGTTTTCCTTTCCATCTGAAGTTTGCATTACTATCCACATTAAGGGATCAATATAATAGTGCTTCCAACAAGGTCTGTTTGCTATGTCCAATGTGGCTGTAACCTTGGCGGTTAGAACCTCTTCCTGCCTGAGGGCCAAATTCATTTCTGCAGATGGTTTCAAGGGTTGCATTCTAGTAGTACACAGGCCAGAAGGCCAAGGATGGGTCCAAAGGCAAAAGGAATGTGCACAAAACCAAGCGTATTGTAGTTAAAGATTTTTGAAGCTTTCAAGCGTCATTGACCATTTTGTAATCAGAGGCCCCCCAGTGGTAGCAGCTGGACCAACACTGCTCCATGGTATTGCATAAATATCCATTGCAATCCACTGAATAATCTCAGCTGGACCTCCCACCACAGAAGTTTGAGGAGAAAAAGTGGGCAAAGAAATTTGCACCTTATTCACTCTCCAGTTTTTTTGTCTGACTTTTTGTTCCCCCACCACAAAGCCCTACACAACAAAAACAAGAATTGTAAAGGCAGTTTTAAATTAATCAAAATTACTTGAATGATAGTTCTAGGGTTACATTTTTAGGACTTACTTTCATACTTAATTAGGATTAGCTTCTTTCCTTTGCTAGAGCTATCCATGGCAAAGGAAGCTAATAGCAGCATATGCCTAGCATCACAAATTAGTACTGTTGCTATGCTAGAAAGAAGAAAACATGTTTAGACAGAGTCATTTTTACTTAATGCTTACAGCAGCTACAACATTGCCTATTAAATAGTGTGTGTTGATGAACAAATATGGAAATATCATTTGAAAGGAAGAAATGGAGATATAATTAGGTTAGTTTCAGGAACAACAAGATATCTGCTTCAGAAGTAGTTGGATTTTGTTTCAAGAAGTTTAGGTACAAAGGCAGTTGGTCTAGTTTCACATATAAAAAGCCTTTCGCGTAACATTTGAAAAATAGTAAACAAAACAAATCCCAATACAGAAAATGTACTATGAATGCTTATCAATGCATTAAAAATTACAAAACAATCCGATCCTGAATATATTTACATGGAATATGTTCCAATGAAATGAGAGGATGACAATCCACCCCATTGTAATCACTGCACATCCCATATTTCACAAAGGAGAGGTGTAAACTTGTGATCATTAACTCTCCAAGACATCAGCATATCTGCGTGATGGTGATTAAAAGTCCGCAGTTCTGTAAGACGACCCAGGAGGCAGGCAAAATGTTGAGGATTCTCTGCGTGATAAAGCTTGCAGATTTTTTGCAGAACACCAAGCAGAGGCTCTTGAAGCCTTTCCACAGAGTCTCTGTCCTGGATGTATGGCCGGTCTGGTTTTGTATTTCAGAGAAATGGACAGATAGGAAGAAAACAAATACCAGTGTTATTTTTAATTAGCCAATTTGCAGTGTCTGACTGTAATCAAATTCTCATTTCATGTGCCAAATTGTCTTCATAAGTATACAATAGTAGGACCAGGTTGTGCATGTGCAAAAGCCTGCACTGATTTAATTAAGGAATCTGCCTTCTGTTCCACTGACTGTATTTTCTTGCAAAATAAAAATATTAGGCAGGAACATGCATGCTACCTGACACTTACCTAAACACGGTGCATTAAGGACCTCATTCACCCTGGCTGTACCTCTGATGCTTCCCCAACACCAGCTCCAAGGTCAGTCTTCCAAGGTTGGAGCTGAGGCTAGAGTGCCTTAGTGGCCATAGGCTTGTACCACGAAGAAGCTTTTCCTAAAGCCTACCACTTCCTACATCTGTCCATAGATCCTTGTATACAGTATTGTGCATAAAATGTTTTGTACAAGGATCTGTTCACTCCCACCAAAAAGAAGGCAGTCAGGGTTGACTGCATGGCATTCCTTTTGGAGGAAGATTCTGGCTCTCCTACTTCCAAACAGGGGTCAGTTTGTAAAGAAAACCATAACTGCAAGTGCTTCTAATCAAGGCTTTTATCCTGCAACCAGCCTGTCCTAAACAAGGAAGTGCTCATATCCATGAAGTTTAGACTTCTTGTATTGTTGGCAAGGAAGGTTTTTTTCCCTTTAGAAATCATGATTAAATTTGATGGGCAAGCCACAGGGCTGACAAATCATCCATGTTCCCTCCTCATTGTAAGGATTTATTTTGAATCATAAGTTTAGTTGCTTGCGGATTAATCTTACTCTAGCAAAACAGTACACCCAAATGTGGGAGTAAATCCCACTGAATTCAATAGGACTTCTTCTGAGTAGGCATGGAGAGGATTGCACTGTTATGTCCTTAATGAACCTATACCTATGCTTAATACTATACCCATACTCAACCTATTCCCAATTGGATGGCTACTATATACAATGGCGGTTCCTCCCAGTGAAAGGCCTTTCCCCAAAGAATTGGCTAAGATGTCTGCCAACCCATCCCCCACCCCCAAGTGAAGAGGCATTTCTCAATTCACTTGCACAGGGCTAAGGAAGCCTCCCTTGCTGAAAAATGGATGGCAGAGGGAGACATCTCCTTCCCCAAGACCTTTGACAAGTCAAAATGAGCAGCACACATAGGGTGTACACAAACAAACATATGGGGGTACTCCCTACATTTTTGTGATTGGCACTCTCCTGGCTCCCACTGCTGGGTTTGACAAATGTGCCATGAATACAAATGGTTTAGCCATCCCTCCACTTGCTTGGGAATAAGACCCGCTGATTTCAAGTGAGGCTTACCTCCAAGTAGGCAACACATCCAGTGTTGTCATGTTAGCCATTTAGTGTCAACAAACTTGAGTTTGAAGCCTAAAGGCCATTAGATTAAATGTGTATTCAGGGGTGTGGGTGTTTTGATGTGTTTTTAAAGGGCAAATAGCCACAGCTTCCCTTCAACAGTAAATAGATGGTGGATGATGCTTTTTTTGCTTTGATTGCTACACAGAGAGGGAAAGTTAATACTGCTCACCCTGCATGTCACAGTTCCAATTTGGATCAAGATTTCTAGTGGCTACTATTTAAAATGAATACTCATTTAATGTAACTGATAGTTTTCTCCAGACTTCACTTTGGTATAGTGCTAGGATTATTTTAATGAAACACTTAAAATGGCAAGATTTGAAATAAAATCATGGTAGTTCCTACACTGCAGAAAAGTAGCAAATATTGTCTTTGATAATTCAATTGCATCATTAAAATTGCTTTTTAATGACTGTTGAATATAGCAATCTTATCTTTTTGTTACTCTCCTGACTTTCCTTTCACCATGAGGTATAGCAGCTGAAATTACCTGGAGATAAGATAACTATTGCTGTAAGTAGAGCATATTCTTCTTGTGTCATCTTCAGTTCTGCCATGCTTTTATAGAACTGGAACATGGGTGTTATATATTCATCTGAGATACCTGTGTTACAAAATATGGAGAAGTGCTTAAGTAAAACTTCATTAAACAGTAAGTGTGCTACTACGTATATAGTCAATCATCAGCTAAACAAACAGAGCACCATTTCTTATTGTCACATTTGACACAGAGGGCATTTGGTCATGCCTGTCTTTCATCTTCTGCTTGTCAGGCCAATGTTATTTCCTTTAGCAGATGGGGAAATGCAGCTTCAAGGTGCAACCAAAATGTCCATGGCTGATCCAACCTTTGCACTCAGGTCCAAGCCTAAGGCTCTGTCCAGAAGTCCACACTAGCTTAAAACAACAGTGGTTATTTTTTAAAGTTTACCTGCATAGCTTGGCTTTAATTTAAATTAATTGCAGATACACAGCAACTACATTAATTTTCAATGGACATAATTGAAATTTACTTTCTCTGGGCTACATTTAAAAAAGGCTGCATTTGGTGATTTCCCAGTTTGAGTTTCAAGAGGAAAATTGAAGCTTTTTTGAATCTTAAGTAATGCCTGAAAGTAGATTTAAAATGAAAAGGATTTTGTGAAAGAGGCCACCCACCACTGTAATTCCATAACAGAGGCTTGTATTTGTTTCAGCAATAACACTTGCTACCCTCATCTAGTGGCAAATGCAGGATGAGGAGAGAGCATAGCAGAAACATCTCAGTGGCAGGATGTTGCAATACAGAATAACTGAAACTCAACATGATTCAACACTCAGGTTAAGCAAGAGCCTGAAACCTAACAAAGATGAAATGAGTGGGAAAGTGTTTTCTTTCCCACAGGCACACACACCTTTTCTGATGTGTTTTATTCAGATCAGTTTCACCACATGCTGACATCTCTTTTTCATCACAAGAGGGTGCTATTTTCCTGTGTGATGCAAAGTAGTCCAATGGCTGTTCAGCAATTCTCATCAATAAACATCAGAGGGGGAAATTATATTATTTACTTGTTTGATGTCTTTTTCCCCATCTCATGTAGTGCATTCAGGTTGTAAAATTGATTCACTTAATGGCACAAATGGAGAACCTGTGGCCATCCATATGTGCTTGGAATACAATCTCTATCATCAGTTGCCATCAGTCATGCTGACTGGGGCTGATGGAGTTGGAATTCAACAGCATCTGGTGGGCCACAGGTTCTTCATCCCTGCTTAACTAAGTCATAAAAAGCTTATCACTAGTATTGTTTACTGTATTTGTAACATTGCAATACTTTTCAATGTGTACACACACCTGCCAGTTCCCAAGAACCCACATCCTGGTGGTGGTGAAAGGACTCACTTCTTGGTAGAACGCCCAGGTTCTACCAGAGGAGCTGGTGGAGCTAATAAGGAGCTACAGAGGAGCTCATGGAATCTAACAGAATCCAGTCTTAGCTTCATCATAGCAGCTGGATTTGCTGTCTGTAGAAAGCTGGAATATAGAAAGGTATACAAAGCTCTATAGGAAGCACACCCAGCTGAACTGGATAGTGTTCACACCAGCACCACAGCAGCATTACATTCCAATACATAAAGAATATGGCAAACATAAGTACAACATTTCAACTTTGGATCTGTGGCTTGATGCTTCGTAGTGGACCACTTCTGTTTGATCAAGAGGAAGATTTCTATAAGTTTCCTATTTGGAAGGGATCAACACTCTGATATTAGGCAACTGTATATTTCCAAACCAAGCTGCTTTTCCTGCTCTTATTCAGCAAGAATAGGTATCAGATATAATTTATAATTTCCATAAACAGTTCCCCCCTTCCATTGCTGCTATTCTGTTCATATTATGATAAGCTTTTGCTATGATGCTAGTTTTATAAATCAGAGAGTTATTGTTTTATGATTTCATTAATAAAAAAGAATATATTTTGGTGGAGGGGGAGGAATCTCCATTTCAGTCATAACAGGTTGCAAAAAGACAAATAAACAAAAAGAAACAAGTGTCAGCACAGCCCTGTGATGCGAATGAGAATGAAAGCAAGAAGGCAAAGCATAACACTTTGCCCAGCTAATATTGTATAGCTTCAGTGTACCAACTGATGCGTGTCTGAAATGCTGCAGCACATCACAGATGCATGGATGTACTGAGATATACACCAAATGCACGAATGGATTGTGTGTGAGTTGCTCTGGTGTGCTGTAGCAGCTAATGTTGGACTGGCCTGGGGAGACCTGACTTGGCAAGGAAGGTCACCAGGTGCCTTTGGGCCAGTCACTCACTCTCAGCCTAACCTATCTCACAGGATTGTTGTGAAAATAAAATGGAGAAAGAAGGGGATTGTGTGTACCGCCTGGGGCTCCTTGGAGGAAAGCTGGGATCTAAATATTTATTAAATACAAGCATACATACAACACTATTTTCATCTTCGGGATGATTTGTAATTGGACACCATTTGCCCAGAAATATTCCTTTATATTGCCTGCAGGTATACCTGAGGGAAGGCAATAAGAGTACCTGCTTCCCTGCTAAAAGATAGATTTAATTAGGACCCAATAAATGATTTGGGAGGGTTTGATACTACAACATTTTTAAAGCCAAGTAAATTTGGGTCTGTTCACTGCATAAGAGGCTCCTAGCAGCCTCATGAAAGAGTGAGATGTAAGTACAGCTTTCTGTTTTAGCTTAGAAATACATATACCATGCTGAGCTTCCCTGCTTCTTGAACAAATTATATGGTGACTCAGCATGTCCCATGTGCTCAGAGTAGCCAATTCACAGGAGTATTCTTGTGCTAAAACATTCATGCGTATTATTTTGTCTCAGGCTTGAATGCAGGAGGGCAGGGTATGAGGGGACAGTGGCCCTCCCACAGGCAAATAAATACCCCCCCCCCCAATCTGGGCCTGTTCTATCAATGAAAGAGAAGAGGGGGAGAGACTGAAAAAAGCATCCCAAATGATACAGTATACAAAGGTTTAAAATAAATAAATAAATAATAGTCCACCAGAGACGCACAATGACATAAATATGTATAATGTACAATATCCAATATCCACTGGATATTGTGAAGGGTCTAACAACAGTAGGTCCTTTATACTCTCGTTTATTCTGCATATTGTTTCCTTTTGAATGGCTCTGATTTTCTTAATTTTAACAATTTCAATCTGAAGAGTCTGTTTTGTTCCTAGAAATGGGTTTGCATTGCTCTTCATACACACTGGGAGACATGTAGGGAAACCTCCATGAAGAAGTGAGGATAATTATGGGCATAATTATGGGCAGTGGGACATTCTCTCAGTGTTACAGTAGATTCAAGCCTTAAAGATATAATCCTATGCATGTTTCGACAGGAACAAATTAATATTGGCTGGGAAATTCTGGGAGGTGATCTTAGATTGCACACTAAGTGAATGCCAGATACCCAGTATAACCCTATTCAGAAGTAAGCAGGTTGACTATTGAATTTACTCCCAGATAAGTGTACATAAGATTGCTGCCTAAGTTTTTATTTCTTTCCATGGTACCAAGCCACCTATCCTTTAAAACTCACACTCATAAGTTCATATCTAATTGTAAACTTCCCCTCTCCAGTAATAAAGATTAGACTTGCATATTTACAACAGCTAGATGTTTAAATTTAAAGGAAGGAGCAACAGCTGTGAGAGACAAAGCTTTGTACTAATTATTATGACTAAGACTGTTGTTAATATGGATGAAGAGATCCTCATCTGGATAGGCTTGAAACTGCCTGTGGATATTAAATCAAATAATAAATGAACTGGGAAATAAACATATTAATTACTCATTTCATTATACTTTGTTTCACAATATCTTATCTATCCAAGATGTTTTCTCAATTCTAAACCTTTCATTAGAAACTTCAGTTCAATTGTATTTCAATATAACCATGATTATTATAATATAAATATATTATAAATATTATATTACATTCCCCCAAACCCTTATGAATCTTACAACAAGCACTGCCAAGCATCTTCTGATTATGTAACCCAGTAAGTCTGGTAGGTCAACTCTCAGACCTGTGGGCTGCCTAGGGTCCCACCCTGACTCTCAGAGTTCCTTTTCTCAACCTTTTACACTGACTGCCTGTCCTTTGGTTCTTTCCCAGACTTTGCACATATCCTCCATCCAATTCCAAAAGTAAAAAAAAATCCCCCAAGCCCACCATTGGAATGCAGTCCCCAAGAGTGTCTCCAAAACTGAATTTGGCCCATCAACAATAAGCCATACATGTAAAGGAATTAAGGAAATACTTTTTGTTGAAAAACCTGTTCAACAGTTTCTAGTGCTTTTGAACTAACAGCTCTTCTTCAGCAGATATGTTGTAAATGTCTTTGAATCTGCAAAGAGAAGCTACACAGCATGGATTCCTTGCCTATATCTGGGCACAGCAAAGTCCACTCTGCTTTGGAACCCTGGTAGCTATAGAGAGGCCAAGGAGTCTGCAGTCTGTTTAGGTCATCATCAAAGACATTAGTCTTTGGGTTCCTTGTTAAATTGGTGGAGATATGGGAAAGGACTTTCTTGGCTGTGAGGCTGCCTCTTTAGAATTCCCTCCCCACAGCTTTAAGTCAGGTGCCCATTTTAATGAGTTTTAGGTGCTAAGCAAAAACCAGTTATGACTTTCATATGTGTCCAGGTTTTTCATAATTATGACATGTTATAATGCTTTTTGTTTTTATGACTTCAGCTGCTGTTTTGTGTCTTAAAGGATGTACTTTAATATTCTTATTTCCTTGCTGAAACATGTAAGCCATCGTGACAATATTTAATTGTAAGCCAGGATAGAAATAATTAAATACATCAATAGAGGTCATTTCCTGTAAGGATTTATTATAATTTTCCCAAAACCTGCCTAGAAAGTGCTTGGATTAAGAACTGAAGTACAGCATTTGAAATTATTTGCTGCTGAAATTTTTGACATCTTAAACAACATGGATATATTGAGTTATTGAAAAGTTTAATTAAGGATGAAATTAATGATATCTTAAATCTTTCCCCACCCCACTCCAGCAATCTAGCTTTCATTTTGTAAGTCTCAAGAAAGTGGTTAAGTAGCCAAGTCTTTAGAGGTGAGAACAATGTAAGAGGTGCTATAATTTGGGTAAAATGTTGCATATAGAGTGTCCCTGTAAGAAACACCTATTTGCCTAACTTTATGGAGAAGAACTCAAGACTGTGACAAGATACAATGACATTTCACAAATCTTTTCATGCACACTTGCATTACTAATAAAACTAAACTGCATTCACATAGGAATAAAAATGCTAAAAGGTTATCACTGCTAAATCACTCTGGTTTATTTATCACACACTAAACTGTAGTGCAAAATAGGATAGGAAGGGGACAATAGTAAATGTTAAAGAGCTGGCAGAAGCTTTGAAGTCGGCATTCTGACAGATGACAAAACAGTAAATAAACATTCCTAGGCATTTTCATACCTTCAGCTTTTGTGGTTACATTTCTCAGAGCCCAACAATACAACCTAGCTGACAGCTTGACACTCATCTTGACATAAAAACGGCCTTGACACACAGCAGTGAAATATTTTTCTAGAATTGTTTGGTTAGAAAATATGGCAATGCTATATGAGTTACAATTATACTGGAATGTAATTATGTATTAAGGACACTTGATGGTACTTTGTAAGGGACTCCTGTCAGTATGATTCTAAGTAAACAAGAAAATATAGTGTATGTAGCATAGAGGAAAGGCTTAAAACAATACATATTGGCTATTTGTAAACATGTAGGTAAAACTGAAAGCATATGCTACAGTTACACTATTAAGGGAAAGTGTAATTCCCTGATTAGAGTAGAAAATGGGAAACATTCACTGGAGCAAAGGCTACCAATTTTTCAAAATAGATCCAGTCCTGGATATATTTATGCTTTGCCAATATTTATGCTTACAGTACCTTCACAAATGAAACAATGTTTTGGGAATTAGGACATTAGGATGTTCAAAGGGAGCTAGCTGAGAGTAGATTACTGTTGCTGCTTACTCTTATGTATTCCCACTACTCCACAAGCATGATCGAGCCAGTTATACCCCTGATCCAGTCATAAGGATTAGGACAAGTTACTAGAACTAACAGATATAATGCCAAGGGGTGCAGCTAAACTGTGGGTACAGAACATCAGGTCTGTGAGTCAGATTGAGCCCTCCTGGGTTCCCTGCTTGGGGTTCCCACGGCACACCCCTTCTTTTGGCCACCCTGCCTTTCCGTGACCACTGATCAGGTGATGGTTTTCCAGGTTTAGTGCAGTTTTTCCCCAATTCTAAGAGGTTGAAATGCTTCTCCTAAGGCATAGTTACTGGTATTGATAGCTTCAAGCTAAAATATGCTAATATCTTTAGCCATGCTCCTTTTCTCTTCAACCTTGCCTGGCACTGGAATGGAGCTTCTAGCTCTTCTGGTATGAAATCCAGCCTTTTCTAAACTGAACAGATGATCCACTTAGTTGAGTGTGAGAAATTTCCCCTCAGTTCAAATGAATCTCTCTTTTTAATAGCAGTAGCATTGACTGTAAAACTCTGAAAAAGAACATCAGCTAAAATATCCTCTTGCATATGAAATTAAGTGCAAATGCAGGGCAACTGGATTTACTCCCAGGTAAACATGCATATGAAGATCCATCAGAAGCAATCATTGTGCCTCCGCCCAGTGGTGTCTGCCTGGTTGCAAAAGAGGAGCCACTTTCTCTTTGGGATCATGAAACCAAAATAGGCAGTATTAGCATCACTATGGATATCTGACTGACTCAGTTGGACACCTCCCTGTATTTGTATATCAGTTGATACATCTCCCTTCCTTTAATAGTATTGCCATCAAAATGAAAGCAACTGAGGGCTAGATACAGATGGTTGCTCACATAATAGACCTTTCCTGTGCTCTCCCCCTCTGGGCCCTCTACCTGCCCAGGGGATCTGCCCTAGAGGGTCTCCTAACCGCCAGAACAGATGTGGGGGGAGCATAACGGGGCAGAGAAAGCATTCCTTTATTCCATCAGTAGATGAATACAACTGGATTTCACCCAAAGTTTTGAACTTGAACATGGGTTTAAATCCTAATACACCTATGAAGATTACTGGGTGGCCTTAGGAAAGTCACTAACTAGGTTATTTAAGGTGGCACATAGATTTGTTAATGATAATTAAAATGCATTTCATATACACAAAGAAACTGCAAAATGATAAATAATAGTAATAATAAACTATCCATACATAGCATAGCACTAGAAATCTAATATTTCATATGAAGCCAAAGATAAAACAAACCTGTTATAACTCTGCATAATTTATTCCAAAGAAAACCCATTTACCTACTAACCTTGGAATCCTCTCTCAAGCATATACATTAGCAGTGGCACATTGCACGGTCATTATTGAACCATTTGTAATAACCGAAGGGGTCGAGATAATTTTATTGGAATAAATGTTATAGAAGTATGTTTCATTGCCCTGATTTATTTATGCATATATTTGAACAAATATAGTTGCTTGTAATGGAACAGTTGCATTCTCAGAACTTATATTTTTCAGATTAAGCATTTAATTGATAACCTTTGGATTCAAAGTTGACTGAGTGGCTTTCTACTGAATGCTGAGAAACATGACATGCACATAACGGATGCGTTTTTTGCCTGACATTTCAAGAACTAGTGTTGCTATTTTTGCTATTAACCAAAGGCACCTACCACTGTTGCGAATTCTTTCTTCCAGGAGGTCAGCATGCCCTTCAGGAAGTTTCCTGTTGAAGATCTCAGCTGACCGAAGGAACATGGCTTCCACAGCTGAACCCTTTAGCAAAGCAATCTGATCCTCATGGTCAAGGGTTTGAAAACCTGGAGTAAATGTGAAAATATCAAGCTAGAAACTAACATCTTTCCACTAACGAAGAGTCTTGTACAGGGGATGGGAGGCAGTGGCAGCAAAAGAGAGCTGATATGTCTGAAGGATTGGCAACAAAATCAGCTGACTATCTAATTACAAGACATTATATTTGGCGTGTGTTCTGTTTTCTTTTGCAAGTCAAAAATCCACCTAGCTTCCTCACATGGGCATGTGCCTGTAATCTTATTTAAGATAGCAGGATGATTGCTTTTGACTTGATTAGCATTTTGCAAATTAAAATTCTACTTTGTAGTAAAAGGGTTCTGGTTGCATGATCATCTTTCAGTGCTAGACACCTTCCAACTGTCCTGATTTTCCTATTCTTTGTTGTGCTCATGTTACCGAAAAGAAGTAAACTGAAAAAAAATAATACTATGTGGAAAAAATAGATGAGCATATAGGTGAAAGAACAATGTATACATATGTTTGTCCATATAATTATGTGAAGGACAGAAGGATAATGTGTTTCTTCTTTTTATGATGGCTGCTTTCCACTGAAGACATTCTTCCTGACCAGTGTCCAGCTGACACAGATCACAAAATAACCCCACAGGAGTTGTGTTAATATGTTTCATCTTATCTACATTTTTTAAAATGTCAGCCCAAGGGAACAAAAGCACAAAAGGGCACGGGAGGGGGGGCATGCCAAAGACTGATCTGGAGAAGAGCTGGGACAACCAAAGTAGATGCACTTAAATATTAGTGGAGAATGGTCCATCAGAATGCATGTGGCACTATTCCATCAAGGTTAGGCTGCCACTTCCCCCTGCAGGCAGTCCTTTCCTATCAGCCTCCTTACAATACATGTCATGGTTGACATAGGCCGCCTCTGTTGGGTGTGAGAAAGATGGTTGCTTTGGCCACACATTCTTCAGGGCTGCTGGTTGGTCTCCAGAAGAATTGGAATCAGGAGGAGGAGGAGGAGGAAGAGAGGTGCAGGAGGGTCAGGGAATGTGGGTCATTCCCAGATACTGAGATGAGAGAAGTGGAGACACTTATCTCAAGGCCAGACTCCCCAGATGGGCAGTCAGTCTCTGGAAATAACCAAGATGCAGAATTGGTGGGAGGGTACTTGGAGCAGGGGAGTTTCTCAGACACAGACATGGTGGTTGTTGACCCAGTGGCATGTCATGAGCAGAGAAAGGGAGCCCAATTAGAAGATAGATGTGCAGAGAGGAGCCATTCCCATTTTCCAAAAGGCCCTTTCCAAAGAAATGTGGGGCAGACATGCTCCTAAGGACTGTTCCTGAAGGTGAATACTATATTGTGTTCAACAGCCACTTGGTGAATGTTCAGAGATTTAGTCTAGGTGTTTGTGTATCTGGAAAACACTTTGGTCAATAAAGAACGTTTTGCAAGAAGGTTCTGTGGCTAGGAAGGAAGGAAGGAAGGACGGACAGATGGAAGCAAGCAAGCAAGCAAGGAAGCCTAATGGTATAAGGGAATATTTATGTGCAAGGGTCTTTTCTGATCACAAAGAAGCAATGGGAACAGGAGAAACAACAAGGAATAGGAAGGGAACATTGACAGGTCTCAAACTGATTTTCATGGTTCTGTTGACAGATCATGGATTTGGAAGTGTGGCAGGGACCTCCACCCTCTGGTCAGTGAATTAGCATGCTGGTGCCTGGACTGAATGATGGGTGAGCAATGGTTTGGAATATCTGGCTGCTGCTTTAATGTTACCTTTGCTTGGACTGTTTTTTTTTTCTTTTGCAGCCACATAAGAGATGAATCTTGGACACTGTTGTGTTTTACAGTGCAGTTTAGGGGTTCAGACAGAGGGAAGCCTGCCTGGAAAAACAATTCCTCACAGACATCTTCATAGAGATCTGAAAACAATTTCTAAAAAGAGATGTGCAAGGAATGTTGGGGGCAGGGGAATCTTGGTATCCATCTTGCAAGGGCTTGCCTTCCATGAAGGACCATACATTATTCATTTAGGCAAGGACCTCTCTACATGTGGCATATAACCCAGATCTTCACCAAGATGACTTCTGTTTTCTCAGCAGAAGGATTAGAGCATCCTCAAGGCTCCCCTGTCCCCTACCCGGGGTTTCACCTCTCTGCCTTTCTAGATGTTCCATTTCACAACACAAGAAGGTGTGGTATATAATGGAATTGCAGGAATACACTGGTGTAATATATAGAATACTGGGACTGTCTAGTAAAATGCTAGACTTTTCTTGCTCAAAATAAAGAAGGAAGGAAGGACAGATGTTGTATAGCTGTGTAGCTGTGAAATGAATGAAAAAATTGAGAAAGGCCAGGAGTATTGTCATTGAAAAAGAATCACAAGCTTCACAAACTATGTGAAGAATTATAAGAGCACTATAAATATCTTGAATAGAAAAACCACATGTGGTAGCTTCTCATGGTAATTTTATAGACACCAGTATACTCCTCCAAGAGATAGAAAAGCTTGACTATTTCTCCTATTATAGCATGAGTTTTACTAGCAGTGAGAGGTCTGCATGGAAATACATAACAGGAAAGGTTTGTGAACATTGTGGTGAAATAACAGTGTGTATCTGGCAAGGTTTTAAGGTTTATAAAAAAAGTATTAAAACTTTACTGATCTAGTGTGGTGCCTTTGTTGTTGTTCTGTCCTACATAATACTATAAGACAGCTGTGATGACATATAAATTTAGAGCTGTTAACCTCTCTAACTAAATGCAGATGAGAAATAGTCATCATACCTGGTAGTCTTTTGGTGAATTCCACTAGAACCTGTACATGACTGGTGGCCATTTCTGTTAAGATGAGGAAATTCTCCTCAGCAGTAAATGCCTCTTGTAACTGAGCATTAAAAAGAAATTATGTTATTATTAATAATAGTGATAGTTCAAGTGATGGTAGGAATACTAATACTCATCCATTTTTATCCTCTGACCTCTAAAGAGAATTTATAGGAGTTGATGATTCATCATGCAGCTGAATTAGATGATGTTGATTGTAAAAGGCTGAGAAAACCAATTATGCGAAGTCTCAACAAGAGAGAACAAATGGTTAGAGAAGAAAAGAAAGCATGTTTGCTTTAAAGTGCTTTTTAAAGCAGATTGAAGCACATTGTTGTCACATGAGAAGAAGATAAACCAAGGGTCGTGACCCAGCTCTTTTTGGGTGGAATATGGTTTCTCATGCCATATCATATCTTGCCATTGCACAATTGCTGGAGGTCCTCTGCTCCACTTATGAGGTCAAAAACAAACCTAAATTCTACAGATGCATGCTGTGCTCAACAGGAGCAGGTGGGGTGATGAATATAATGGGGCCTGCAGCATTCATTGCCCACATTTGAACATTTTAAGTCAGGAACTTGACTTATCAAACTATAAATGTGTCAAGCACCTTTGCTCTCTGCCCACCCCCCACAGATGTTGTTGAACTATCACTACCGTTATGCCTGGCAATTGCCCATGCTGGCTGGGGCTTGTAGGAACTTGTGTGCCACAGGTAACAATATCTGCAGGACCACAGTTTCCACACTCCTGCACAATCCACATGTTCTTTATGATAGTACATGTAACCAGTTTGCTCCAGTTTAGATCCTCATGCTCATGTAAGCAGATAAACCAGATCATGAATAACTTTGCTTACTTTGCAGGTTTACCCCAGCCTGCCAGCTCAGTGATGATGGAGTAAAGTTAGAAGCAAACAGCTATTCTGCTCTCTCCTACCATACAGTCATTCATGCACATGAGCCTCCACATCTGCCTGTCTGCACCCAGAGAACAGAATTGTGTTCAGGCAATATCTAGCATTCCTACTGGGAAAATGACTGTACACTGGAAGACTTTTAAGCAGAAATTCTACTGGAAATGTTTGGGGGAAAACACAATTTAACTGTTCAACTATTTAACTGTTTGAGTATTGTATTAAATTGTATACTTACAAGCTTTTTAGAAACCTCAGGAGGAAATCGTTGCTTGTTATATGAATCCATGATATAGTGTAGAAGATGCTGCTCTTCTGGGGTTAGTTCTACTTTCTCCTATACTGGCAATAATGAACCATAAGCTTCAGTAACTAAGTTTTGTCTCTCATATTTCAGTGTACTGCACAGATCTGAGCACTTTGATCTCATTCACAAAATCAGTGCTTTTCTATGCAAGGCTATTCATCCATTAAACCAACTTTCATTTTTGTCATAAAATTGAGATACAATGATACCCCCAAGAAGCTTTTCTTTTTCTTATTCTTCTACTACATAACCTCTAGGTGGCACTGTGGTGTGCCAGAGTAATGCAAATACATCAGTAGAAATGTTTTCTTTCTTCTACCAGATAGAGTACCCCCTTTTCCTATGTATCGGAAGAGGGAGAGGACGTTGAAAGTGCTGTTTACAAACAGAATGAATAAACAACCACACACACAATAAATGCCTCATATAGAAAAGTTTTAAGTTACAAATGCATATAAACCTAACAAAAATATAGCAAATAAGAGCCAGTGTGGTGTAGTGGTTAAAAGCGTGGGACTGATACCCAGATGATCTGGGTTCTAGTCCCCGCTCAGCCATGGAGCCAACTGGGTGACTTTGGGCCAGTCACAGACTATCAGCCCAACCTACCTCACAGGGTTGTAGTTGTGGGGATAAGATGGGAGAGGAGAATGATGTAAGCTGCCTTGAGCCCTTTGTAGGAAAAAAGGCAGGACATAAATCGAAACATAAATAAATAAATAAAATGTTCCTTTATGCTAAGTATGGCATGAATACATTTTACAATGGATTCATACAATGGAGGCTATAACAGTATTTCTAAAGGTGATACTAGATAGCCAATCAAGGTATATAAAGGGAGTGAGGAAATTAAAAGTGCTATAATAAGACATGTTTGGTGCTTAGGACAAACCATACCCAGTGCTGCACCAAGACATTATTATAAACCATAAGCCAAACATTATGACATTCCTGTGCAAATTGATATTTCATCTGATCATCATTAACAAGACATTTGGGTACTATTATGTGAATTAAATGCAAGTCAAATACTATGAAGTCTGAAAATACAGTAATATTGTCTCATTGTGATCTTCAGAACTGTACACAAGGACCACACCTTTAATCTTAACTGCTAAATAACTTATCTAATTATCAGCAGAAATGATCAAAAACTCAGTGATTAATCTATAAAATGACTGGAAGTTATTAACACAATAATATTCTCATTTAACCTGGCCCGCAAAGTTGTATCAAATATAGAAAATTGTAATCTGTGAAATGTTACAATAATTTTATTACCTTGTAGAATTTTGTTGTAGATGACACTTGTTTCATGTCAGGTCCCTCAATATCTTCACCTGTTGTATGATCCACAGAGTGTGTTGTATTTTTTCTTAGCCGTTTTGATTTACATTGTATTTCTGTTAACAAACCTGAAACAGCATACTGAATTAATATCTAGAATCTGACTCACCAGCATGTGTGTGAACCAGATTAGAAACAAACTTCTGCTCACATGTACCTAACAATTGGATTAACAAGAGATGTCAACCCATTGTGGATGACAAGCTGCAGTGGGTTGTTGTGTTGTGTGAATCTGGACTGTTTCCCACAGGGTGGCTTATTCATGGTGCACAAATGACCCTGACAATCCATGGCTTGTATTAGGGGTTGTTTCAGCCCTAGGTGTGTCATGTGAACCCTGGCAGCCATCCCCATTGTGCATGGAGGGAAACAGCGAGTGAGCCTCTTGCTGCTCTTTCCAAGTTCAGCCAGGTCTCAGAAATGACCAGCCATCGATGCCCAAGAAGGAGGTGGAGCTATTGCCATCAATACCCTTTGTATTCACAGTTGCTTTCTTCCCTCTTTCCCCACTTAATTTTTCAGAGATCACTTTTCACGATCCCTCACTTGACCCCAGAAACCTTTGTGCACCTTTGAGGCCCCTTCAGCGTGCCCAAGCAATGCATTGGAAGACTCTCACTGGTTCCACACCCCTTTTAAAAATGTGCCCCAAATTTGCACAAATGTTTTTCATCTTGTTTTCTAGGCAGATTTGGTCTTCGTTTCTAGGCAGATGACTGAACAAACTATAGTTTGTTTTCTCAGTCCCTGGGTTCTTTGTTTCCCTCGTAACTTCTCCAACTTCTGCTCTGTACCTGAAATGCTTTTGCAGCTTTGCAATGCTGACACATTGATTGATTTGTTCTTGTTTTCCATTCTTCCCAACTACCTCAGTAGCCTGGTGAAACAACCATGAACCCCCCCCCCATTTTGGGTTCAGATGTAACAACAACCCAGGGTTTCAACAACCCACAATTAAGCCTATAAAAACCTTGGATTCCCTTCACTGGTTATTTGTCGTTCAGAAGAGGAGGAGAAGGCGATGATTGTCCAAGACTGTCCACATCACTGCACCAGACCACTCCTGAGAGTGGCTTGAGTGGGAGGAGCTGTAGGGAAGGAGGAATTGCCAGGCGTGACTCAAACCCTCCCCTACAAGCTGGATCCCATGGCTAGGCCCCAGCAGAGGCAAGGGGCCCAATCAGATGAGCAGTGAGAGGAAAGGAGGCTGCTCACAAGAATGGGTTGGTGCTGTGATGTGGGCGGCCTTTAGACAATCATTTTCTGCTCCTGCTGCTCCTCCTCCTGTTGTATCCCAGGACCTTGACCCAACCCAAGCTCCCCAATCTCGCTGAGACATTCCTCCTCTTCTTCCTCCTCCTCCTCCTCCGAATCTGAATAAGCATCTTTGATGAGGCTGATAGCCCATGGGAATGCTTGCCCAGGGCCACCATCCCCCTTGCTCCTGACAACATCCTATAGTTATCACATAGTTCCAAGTTTGGATGCAACAACAACAACAACAACAACAACATTAAATCATATTGTTACACATGGGCAGATCTTTGTGCTACTACTTCTTAGAAATATTAAATGGTGTAAAATCCAATGTTTTCTTTAATATGGAGTATTGTGTCTTTCATTATAATGTATCAAAAAGGGCTGTCTGAACTTCAGAAGACATTCTGTTGCTGACAAAGAAGCAGGCAAATGTTGATCAAGGACATAACCACAATAGCAACTTATTAAGTTTAAAAAAGCAGAGTCACCTGAGTGCCCTATTTTTGAAGCTAAAGAACAGGAAAATAGCTTTGTTCAGAGTCTAGATAATGTTGAGGAAGATATCAATGAAAATGCCTAATTCACTGGTGAATGCTTTTAATATCCTGTATATTATAAAATTATGCACCATAGAAAGCAAGTTTCCTCTATCACTGAAAGAAGAGGAAATTTAAAGCATTAAAATAACAGTCCCACATAATATCATGAAGGAGTAAAATAGTATTTATGATAATGACACAGACACTAAAGTTGGTGCTAACGCCCATCATTTCACTACTGGTGGGTTGGGTGTTTTTTGCTTGACACCATATGAATAATCAACAATACTAAAATATCATGGCCAGTTCATACATTATTGGAAAAAGCTGCTCTTGTTTGTACATAGTTTGTGGAGTGTGTCTGTGGCAAACAGTGGGGGGAAACTGCATCTAAAATCATGTTGCAGATACCAACAAAGAGCTCTCCCCTGGGTGTTGGCTTCATGCTTTGAAATATATCTCCACCTCCCCCACATGATAGTGGTTATCATGATGACGTGCAGCGGAAGGACTAGGAGTTGTTTTATTTGTCTGGCTGGCTGTTTTAATAAAAGTTGGCCATAGGTGCCTTCAAAGCTGCCTAATAGCCTCATATAAATGCGAGAATACTAAAAATAGAAAATAGCTGATAAAATCAGAGTATCGTGCTCGCATAAATGATAGCAATGAATCATCATATCAGCACAAGACACGAACCAATTTAGGGCGCTGTCCTATGAGGCTGCCAGTAGCCTGTCGAGCTTGAAAGGTTATGGGGCATCCAGTCAAGGACAAGAGGGGCACAGAGGCTAGGCTTCCCTCCATACTCCCCTTATCCTCCAAAGCATTTAGGTGGCTGATTTCCACTGTCCGATGTTTTGCCCCTACTCAGGAGGAGAAGGAATGGAGGCATGTGCCTCACTCCTTCCCTCCTGCAATGCTCCCCTGTGCCTTCCCAAGCACAGCCTTCTGCCTTGGAAGCTGCAGCTGGCCCAGAAAGATCCACACCAGCGGCAAGGACAAAGGGAGGGCATCCAAAGAACGAGTCCCTACTCTGACCTTACAGAGCTTTTCCTGGGTTGCAGCAGGGATCCAATTTTACCTCTGGCCAGAATCCCTACTCACCCAAAGCCAGTCTTGCAGAACAGACTTTCCTGCTCCCTAAAGAATACTAAGGAAGGGAACTTCCTTCCCTTATATGCAGCATATTAAGCCCTGAGATATTCCGAAGTGGCTTTACTGGTTGCTTATGACAGGCAATGCACATAAGTGGGCCTTTCTGTAATGGCACGTACCCTCTGGAACATCGTCCCTGCATTTGGAAACTCAAATGATTCTTCATATTTCTTCACTTAAGTTTCCCTCAGTTGTAATAGCTTGTGACAGTGTTCTAATTAACCTTTATTTATTGCTTTACGTTGTTTTTTATATTGCATCATACATGTTTTTATGCAAACCACTAGGGGTGCCAAGTGGTATAGAAGAAAGAAAGAAAGAAAGAAAGAAAGAAAGAAAGAAAGAAAGAAAGAGGGAGGCAGGCATGGAGCTAGTGAATCACAATCAGTGAAACACTCTTCTCTCCAGTAGCCATCAGCCTAATCTGCACAGTGAGGACACCCAGGGAAGGACTACGAACATAAGGAAAGCCTGCTGGTTCAGACTAAGGGCCCCCTAAGCCCAACCTCTTGTTCTAAGTGTGCTTGTATCTTCACAAGAAGGAGGTATAGCATTCTTCTGCCCATGTTCCCCAACAATTGGTTTTCAGAGGAATACTGCCTCCAGTAATGGAGGTAATGTAGAATCATCATGACTAGCTAATAATTTTATCCATTCAGGATTGAACAAACCCTTTTAATATTAAGTGTGTGTGAGAGAACTGTATCTCAGTCCATTACCACCACATTGTGCATATTTTGTGTGTGTGTGTCATGTTTCCCTTACTTGCCTTTTTTCCTAAAGCTAAAGAGTCTCAGAACTTTTAATCTATTTTAATCCTACAGTGGCATTGCTCCAGCTGCTTGATCACCTTGTTTGTGCTTTTCTGTATTTCTTTTCAGTTCCACAATAACTTTTTGAGGTGCAGGAACCAGAACGATAGATAGAATTCCATGTGAAATCAACCATACATTTGTATAAAAGCATTGTGATATTGGCAGTTTTATTTTCATTTTATTTATTTTATTTTATTTAGGGGACTTCTATGCCGCCCCATTCGCCAAAGTCTCGGGGCGGCTCACAACCATAAAATTTTTGATGTGACTTCCAGAGAATACCGTGGCTTTTCTTGCATTAGGTGACATGTACCCAGGAAAGCTGCATTTTCAAAAGCTGCTGGTTTTTGTTTTTCGGGGTTTTTTTTTGGGGGGGGGGGTTACATTCTGATAAAATGCTGCATTTTATGCATACACATACAAATGGTTACCTATCAGTGTTGCTCTGGCACATGATGAATCAGGAGCACCTGAGTTCATCAATATTCATATGATTGCCTTCTCTTTTTTGCAATATAAGAAATTCCTTGGGATAATTGCAGCACTGTAGTATGTGTAAATGAATCAAAGTCCAAGGCAAAGACAGTCTTAAAGAAACCAATTCACTTCAAGTCAATTTACAAATTGGAGTTGTAAGTTTAACCACTCTGGCCAACCTTGAGTTTAGAAACAAAGAAAACACAACCCTGAAAATGTACAGCACCACTCCTTGTGTGAGGCTTGTTAGGCAAACAGCTTGCAAAATGTCCTCACTTTGGCACTTTACAAGAGCACGCTTATGTTTAAATTATGAGATATATGAGCCTCACAGTAACAAAGTACAGGTTTCCATTGCAGAGGAAGATTCAAGTGGCAGCACCTATTATTGGCCTTTGTTTCATACAGGGCAATCTGGGAAATGATCGGCTACTTTTAAAGTTTCCATCCCATTTTCCTTCGTCAGTATTATTTACACTGGCCTATTTTTTCTGTGCAGTCTATTATTAGGTACCAGAAGCTGCATATACTTGCACACACTTCCCCCACTCTCTTTTCCTCCCCCCACCCCTCTCTCACACACACATTGGGGAACAGGCAACGCTGAATTCAACTTATTTTTATGCACCACCTATGAATTCATTGAGCATTCTCACCACTTTGGCACCATGATTTGTTTGTGTCTTTATGCACTGGATGGAAATAGGGCATATCTCAAGATCTCTGTGGTCTGCTAAATTTACAAAATGAAAGATTAATTATATTATAATTTTTGCATGAATTCCAAACACTGACAGAGCCTGTTGTTTTCCACAAAGCCTAACAGTTAATATAGCATCTCATAATCAGATTGGAGGATAGAAGCATATTAAAAAGCCAGAGTAGATTAATTTCCGGTATAAACTTAAATTGGTGTGACACTACAGTTATGCTAAGATGATTGGAGCCATCAAGTCAGAACATAAAATACAGTCCTAATCCTATCTTTGCACCATTTTTCAGATGCAAAAATAAGTTTTAACTAAGTTATTTATGCCACAGTTAGTTAAGTAATACCCGGAGTCTGAAGACCAAACTATACATTATGTAGGAGATCTGTAACTGATCTGCAACTTTAAAAAAGAAGGCTAACTTGCAGATTTAGGGGTACTTGTGTTTACCCTTGCAGTGTGAATTAAGTAAATAACATGATACAGGAGGGGAGGAATGCATTCTCACTCAGTACATCTGTGCTGCAGAATCTTAACATGTGAGAGGGGAAAAACAAAGCTTTTATGAAAGCTTTTCAAGCAGAAGATATAGTGAGCTGAAGGACTGAAAATATGAGTTTGTATATCTGAATTCCTGAATAATTTAAGGTGGGGGGAGCATGATAAAATTTCTACTCAGAAAGCCAATGACAGCAGTTCAAAATTCATCCAGACCCACCACTTTCCCGTTCTGTCATCCATTTCCCTCAAGGACAGCTTCGATCAGTACTTCTAACAATACAAGAATCCCTTTTCAGACCACTTTATGGGTAGCAGTCATTTAAGATTGCTTTCATCATACACTCCTCAATACTGAGTGATATGCCTTCTGTTACTAGCAATCCACTTTTCTACATTATTTCGAGATGCTATGCTCTTGCCATCCTTTACAGTTCACTTTAGGAAAGACCATGGCATGAAACAAGTCACATTTTCAGTCTTCAGGTGGGGATGTTTGAAACTCTAGACAAGTGACTATCATGTTATCAGATAACATGATAACCCACACTCAGGGTCTGAGTGTGGTTTGTTGCTGAAATGTGGGCTACAATGTTGCCTGAACCCAACCAAGATAGAAAACTATGGTGAACAATCCAACCGTAACCCAACAGAAAAACCATGGGTTGTCTTCATGGGTTGTTTATAGCTATCAACCCATGGTTTGAATATGGTAGTTGTGCTTTCTCTGGCTCTCAGCCTGTATGGCAGACAAGACCATCAAACCTACATACCTTGGTAGGTTTCAGGTAGCTTCCTATGTTCAACCACCACATATTAGCAGGAAGTTATTTCATTCTCATCTAGATTGTGGTTTCTTGGGATTGTCAATCTGTTGTGATTACACAGTTGGAAATTACTGATCTACTGCCTTGAACTATATTCAACTATAGAGCAAAGATCATCTTATATTTTACTGATGTTTTCCCAAATTTTACATTTTTGAATGCAAGCCACATAGACTTCCTAACTGAAATGAAAAACTACATGATACCAAGATAGTATACGTACATTCAGCCAGCATTCCCACTTCTTTGCACTTCTGTAGACGGCACTTTTGACACTTCCTCCTCATATACATGTCCATTTCACAGTTCCCTCCGTTTTTACACTTATATACAGCATTTTTGGTGATACTTCTTCTGAAGAAGCCTGATGAATGAACAGAGATACATACAGAATGAGATTCCAGATCAATACTAATTTTTGTATTAAAATAAAGCTGCAGTTAATTCATATATTAAAACTAGACTTGCCAATGTATTTTATTTTTAATGTACTTTGTGAACTGCCCAGAGAGTTTCAGCTGTTGGAAGGCATAGACATTAATTAAATAATAAACTTACCACAAATGAATTTCCTATTTCCTTAGGAAAAAAACAAATTCATCCATGTAAATTTGGATTAGAATTCTCCTTTCATCTGAGATCTCATACTGTATTTAAGAGTTTTTGTGCATGCACAAGATTAAGCTGAATCCTGCAAGATGTAGTTTTTAGTTGTGTAATGTGTCATAAAGTCATATGTTACCATATTATGTACCCCTTCCTGATTGGTTATTTCTAACTGGCCTTCCTACAGATTGTACGGAAAGCGTTCCACGATCAATTCAGCGCATGCACCGAAATCCCACATTTCAGATGTAGATTGTAAAAGCTCTGAAACTCACAACCTATCCAAAAATTAATAAAGAATCAATAAAACCAAGATTCAAGCTCACTAGAAACATGAGCAGTACAAATGTATAATTTTCAACCAGTGGGTTGAAATCAACCAGTACAAATTATTAAATGGTGCCTGGTAATTGGCAGCATTGCTGAAAATGTGTTAAGCTCTGATGGTGTTAAGTACTGTTGTTTGTCTACAGCAATTAGAACTGCATCACTTTTAATTTATACACTTTGAAAATAGAAGTATGCCATCTCTAAAGCAAATTCAGTTTATAATTGTGGGATCAGGCAACCTTTACATTTAAAGTGTCCAGTTACAGTTTCCATTACAGAATAATAAAACCACATCTTTTATCAACAAGGCTGCCTCTTTGCTACGTCCATTTGAAGCTGCATCTAAATTGTCTTGTGTACCGTCTCCATTGAAATACATTTGACTGACACAGGCAGCCTCTTTTGAAATGCAAATTATTCAGTGCTTTTGCTCAAAACTACCTATGTGCTGTTCCATAATTCCCTAGGAGTTTAGTACATTTCCATATTAAGGAAGAAAAAGAAGAGGTTAGGTTTAAAGCTGAGGTTTTGTTTTGGTTTTTTTCCCCACTCTCTTGGAAACGTTCATCTACTTTAGAACTCTTTAACATGATGATGTGAGCTCAGATTATGATTGTTGAAAACCTATGTTCCAGGAAAAATCAGTATTACTCCAAAAAAGCTGCTTATTGACAACAAGCAAGTTGATGATACTGTGAGTAGAATAAAGGGATCTCTAATATTTTATTAACATGAAAGCACAAGACAAGTAGAAAAATGAACTTTCTGAAACCTTTCAGTAATGCAAAACTCATTGAAATTAATACTACCTTTCTGAAAAGAATGTTTATAAAATGTTCCCAGTGTTAAGAAATACATTAATCTTCTTCTCATTCTTAAGTCATTTTAACATATAGACTAGAAAGCCCTTTAATGAAACTACTTCACATTTCTTCTTACTGCTTAGATGAAATATGGAGTAGGGAATTACAGGACAGAATGATTTCCTCATTGCGTTGTGTTGTGACTGAGTAGCCTATGAGTAGAGAGTCTTCTACCAAAGAGGACTCAGTAATACCGCAACCTTCAGCATGACTCTTCCAGAATAATTTCAACAATAGTTTCGATGATGATGATGATAATTTTCTAAAATCCTGCTGCTGGTAATTATAAAGATTAATTATTCTGACCTCTGAATTTATCTTGTGATATGCAAAATAAATCCTGCAAATTACTGTCTCACCTACCAAAAAAAGGCAAACAATAATGAAGGTTGACTGTATATGTATTATTTCTGTTTCTAACACCTAGAACCAAGTATGATGTAGTAGGACCAGAGAAAGTACAGAAAAGGGCAGCTACATGATGGAGGAATCTTTTAACAGAAACTTTTGACTGTACCTTTCCTTCAAAGAGCTCAGGATACTTTACCTGGCCCTCCCCTTGTACACTTACCCAAACCCTGTGAGATAGGGAAGCAGAAAGATGACTGAACAAGGATTTGAAACCAGGCCACCTGCTGGTCTACCCACATACAGGCTCTTGGAAAACTGTTTTATCTTCCAATTCCTCTAAATGTTACTTTCTATACACAGATTCTCTTTTCAACCATTTTTTTGTCTTACCTTTGCAGCCTTCACAAGTAAGAGCATTATAATGGTACCCAGATGCCTTGTCACCACAGACAACACAGAGCTCCTCGCCTTTCATTCTGCCAGAGGAATAGCCCATTCGAGACTTCTTGGTTGCAGTCATGCCTCCTAGGTCTGGCTCCTTCATGAAAAGGTTATCAGAGGGCATTTTCCTAAACTCATATGCTACAGGTTGGTACCATTCTTCAGGCTGTTGTGGATAGAAGCTGAGGCTGGAGTAATAAGGGGGTGAAGAAATTGGCGGCTGCACAGGGGGAAAGTTGTACTGCACTGTGTTGTACTGTGAATAGGGTGATACATCCGAATCTTGCCCCAGAGAGGTCATTGGATCTGGAAGTACACACAAAATCCAATCTATTATCTTTCACAGGACTAACTTCCTCACAAAAAAATGCAAGTCTAAGGAGGGAGCACTGTCATTTTTTATACTTCCCCATACACATTATGAACTAATATTCAGTTAACCCATCTATCCTTTTTTCAGCCATTTAAAGTTGTTTTATGGTTAATAAAAGTTTCTGTTCTGCTCAACAGTTGTTCTGTTGAAAAGATTTTTGCTTCAATGTTCAGGATCCTGATCCTGTTGGGAACTGAAGCCATATGAATATGCATGCCCCACTGAACCCACATGTAAACAAGATTATAAGTTCAGCACATGTCTGATTCACAGATCTATTCAAATTCAGGAGTCTTCATAAAAGTTATGGGTTAACCTGCAATCTGGATACATACTTAACCCTTTACTCACAACATTGCCTTCATATCCTGTTGATGGGCTCCCCACAGGCTGCAGGCTGGACACTGTGAGAACCCAACAGAGAAAATCTCCAACTACCATCTTCATTTTCCATCCCTCCTTACCCCAAGCCATGTTTTCGGGTGCAGGAAGAAGTATCTGGAGTAGCAGTGGGTCTCACAAAGATTTTTTCTCTAGTTCTAATTTAACATTCAAAAAATCCCTTCAGGCTTTTAAAATGTTTGGTTAGAACACAAAAGCAGCCATGATGCTTAGACAAACTGGGAGGTCATAGACCCTTAATTCTGTGGAGGGTTGGGATTCTTTCATAGTACCCTCTCGTAGCGTCCTGAAAGGGAAAAACAAAATGTGTTTTTCCTTTTGTGTCTGAAAAGATGGGAAGTCAGGAGTGGGTGGGCAATTCAAAACAGCATGCCCTAATTCTATTGGAAATTTTAGGTCAGGAGCAGTAATTTGTACTTGTTAGTATAGATGACTGTTTTTTTTTTCTATTTTGCTCTACTCAGATTACTGTTATTGTTTACTAGCAGATATATTTTCATTCATTGGTATGCATGTGTATGCTTCTCTAGAACCAAGTTCTCAGGGCAGCAGACAGCAGGAGTAAAAAATAGATTACAAATGCATACAATTCAACCTGCTTCAATTGCTATTTCAATAGCAGTGTTATCCATCTTGAGGATCCTCTCCTTTCGGAGAGCAATGTGAGGTATGCATGCTTCAGAGTAAATGAAGGATAAATTATTTGGGAATTAAGGGCTCAGATCCAACTTCTTCTGACTCTTAAGCAGTTTGTGTTCATGGACCAGTCATTTTTCCTGGGGTCAAGCAGTGAGGAGGAAAGTTGGATGGGCAGAGCTGAGGCAGGGTATGTGGGACTTGTAACATCTTCAACTTGGCGATGGGGTCACTGGCTTCCTGTCTGGAAATATTATCTTCCAAGTCCTAGGTCTTCACTTAGATCATTCCCATGAATAAGGAGAGAATGTTGTCTATGAGGGATAGACAAAGACAGGCAGTCCAGAAATTTAGAAAGAATTAGCAAAGAGTGCTGGTTGCTGATATTCTTTAAAGGAATGCTAAGCAAGGTGGACTTTGGTCTAATACTGCATATTCAAATTGCTTAACACACAGTAGTTTTGCCTAGCCACTAAAATATGCTGGGCATGCACTGTTTTATATTTTTAGCATACACCAGTAGCTGGGGCATTTCATTGTTTAATTTTTTTACATAGATCATGTTAAAATGGTGAACACACCCTTGTCCTGTAAAATAGCAGGTCTCTCCTCATTCATAATAGTCTACCATAAGCACACAGCAAGAGGAACCAACATAGCCACACCAGAAATTACTATGGAGGATAAGGAAAATACTCAATCGACCAAGCCATAATGGCCCATGCAAGCAAGGTGCACCATACAACATAAAGATATCTGTTTGCTCAACATAACAATAATGAGTGTCCCAGCACCCAAATATCCATTTATAGAATCTTACCTAGTATTTTGAAACACAAACCATAAGTGAGCAGAGAAAATATCCTTCCTTTTCTAGGGGATGTCAATCTGACCACTTACAAGATGGTCCAGAAAAACCAGTGCCTTTATGGTGTTCCTCTCTCTTGCTTCCTGAACCTCCCAATACTTTACGCACAAGCAAAAATTAAAACTTCTTCTAAGACCAGCTAAGGAAACACTAGGCCAGAGGTTATACAGCTTACTGATTAACTTTTTAAGGAGGAGCTCATTTGAAAAATGTCTGAGAGAAGAGCTATGTAAAATCCTCAGTACTATAGATTGAAAATCTAGATTGTTTGCTCTCAGAGGGAGCAACTCAGAAAAAATGGACCATCATGTTCACTCAGACAACTGTTGAGGATTATTTATAATGCTATGCTTAGTGAATAGGTATATTTTCATATTACATGAAGAAATACGTATTTTACTGAAACAAGCCAGTGGTCCAGCATCCTGTAATCCTCAGTGGTGATCCTGCTGAAATCCTTAGCTGCATCATTGTGGCCAGGATAGCTGGAGCGGCCACTGACACGGGTGGTGGGGCCAAGGGTCTCCCCAGCTGAGCAAAGGTCAGTTTGCTATGAGAACAACCATATGGTAGGTTTTGGGTACTTCCTGGATCTTTGCTGCATCACTAAAACCAAGCCAGCCAGAATCCAAGTAGAAAGCAGGCATAGGAAGATTCCTGGGCTATAACACAGAAGATCAATATGTAGAAGCACTCCATGCTACCACCGAATAATTTTATACAAGAAGGTTTGTAAGTAGAGGTGGGTCTTAGGGGGCTATGCCCTGAACTGTTGCAAGAGGAGGGCGGTGCTGTACATTAGTGCTGCCCCTTGGCCTACTCTGGGTGCTGCTTGGATTTCACATGAAGTGGCCGCTCCCATGTAGGGGATCTAAGATGGTGGCTGCTTTCTGCAAATGGAAGCCAAAGGGTAGATGGGCCCCTATCCAAAAGCATCAGCTGGCAAGGAAGTGGGCATATGGGGGAGAGGGCAGAGAGTGCCTGAGAGAAAAGGCAGAAAGGCTGGCCATGACATCAACACCGGGGGCGGGGGGTGAAAGTGTCCCAGCAGACAATGTGCAAAACCCAAGAACCGTTCAGTATGCAGCCCTTCAATTCCTGCCAGGGCTCAGCTGTACAGCAAAATACTTTTGTGTGTCACACTCTTATGCCCTGGGGAAAAACACACAACACAACCCATTTCAGCTGAAATGAAAGACTGTGCTTACAGACAATTTTCATATTTGTGAGTTAGAAACAGAAACAGAGTGAGTTAGAAGAGGGCTCCTGGGTCATATAGTCTGACCCCTGGCTCCAGTCAGCTATGCTCATGACATGCCTACCATGTGCATGTCCAACCTGTCCTTGAACACCCTCACGAATGGAGCTTCAACCACCTCCTATAGAAGCCCATTCCATACCCTGGGGGTCCTAACTGTCAGGAAGTACTTCCTGGCATCCAGATGAACCTTGGTTCCCTGAGCTTTGCTCCATTGGAGGTCCTACCCTCCTCCACAGGGGAAAACATGGTGCTGTCCATCTCTGCATGACACCCCCTCATGTACCTACATGTCACCAACAGATCCCCTCAGAGTCTCCTCATGTATGAAGACCCAGTTCCCTCAGCCTCACCTCATATGTCTTCCCCTGCTATCCAGCCACCATCTTTGTGGCCCTACACTGCACCAATTCCAATGAAACATGCTCTTCATATCCCTGTTCGTTCACTTTTTATGTATTTTCTCATTAGGTGGAGGTGGAGGTGGAGACTGCAATCTGTTTATCCCTTTTCTTTCAGGCTTTTTTTTTTAGTGTTCAGCTACATGAAATATGGCTGGTTTATATTCCTTTGATCTTCAACTTCCTTTCTAGCTTGTTTATTATCTGCACTATGAAAACAGCCAGATGCAACTTGATACCAACCAGTTAAATAACTCATCTGATAATCTTATTGTTTAATTATTTTTGACCTTTGAGAATTTTTTCTCTCTTTCTCAGTACAACTAAGAAAACAATCCAGCATTTCCAGTCCCTCTCTGTAGAGCCAAGGATATGTCAGTTTTCAAAAGCTGCGCACATGTGGTAGACACCTTATCATTTTAGTTTTCTGTTGAAAACTACTTTTGTCCATTATATGAGTTGCTAAGCCTTCAGCTCTGATTCAGCCACAGAAAGGGAGTGCAGAGAAACTCCTCAGTCTGCATCATATGAAAGCCCAGTCATCTGCAGCGTCTGCCCATGTGGTGTAGCAATGTTTACCATGTCCTCACTTAGACCTGCTCAAGATACATGAAGTGGAAAATTCCAAAAGTCCTTCTCTACAACAGTTAAATATACTGTTATATATTGCATGACTGACCTGTGACCAGTGGCGGTCTTTTACCAATAGCCAAACTCCGCTACCTGAGATACCTGCTACACACTACCTCATGATAGAGCTGGCTCTCCTTTGCTGGATTTTTGGTCACTTGCAGATGTATAACACAGGTAGAATAAAAGCAGCATAAAGTTCTAACTAGAGGGCACTACTAGTTAATACAACATGCCATCTCAGAAAACCTTGCATAGGCTAAAAACTGGTTGTTGCCTTCATGTTGCCACATCCCAGACATTAGCCTATACTAAGGACACAGCCCTTTAGACTGAAAAAGGACCACTACTTCCAGCATACTCCAGCCAATTATGAGAGCAGACAAGCCATAGTCTGAAAGGTCACACTCCCACTCTTCCACATATCATGGCTCCAGTCCAAAGTATTTGCACTATCCTTGTATGACACCTTTTTGGAGAACAAAAGTGCATTGGGAGAACCAGCTGTGAACCTCCCTTATGACATGGCATTTGGTTGAATGTAAACGAGCAGTGCAACTTTTCTTCAAATAGAGCCTGTAAGGCAGAAGACCTGGAAGGGGATGTGGAAGCCAAAAGGACTGATGTCCAGCAAGATGCATGATAAGAGGACCCTGATCAGGAGGGGGAAGAGGCAGTCGATCATGAAGCACAGAAGCTACTTGAAAGAAGAAAGAAGGGCATAGTCCAAGACAGCCCAGATTCTAAGGAGCCACAGGGGGATGCATTTCAAGCAATAGTGTGTAGTAAAGTTACTATGATATTACAGAAGTTTTCTCACTCCTTTAAAAATGAAAAGAATTATGTTCTGCTAAGTGACACTGAATGACATTGTTTCTGAAAACAGAAAAAGAATGCATACATTTAGCCATATGTGTTTTTATATAGTCCAACAGCTGCTCATTAGTATATTGGCTTTGCCACAGGAATGCAGGAAAGTATGCAGTTATAATGCAGCTATATTCGGTGAAGTGAAGGTAAAACATTCAAAGAACTTCTTATAAAAGTAATGGGATGGATACGGAGAATAAGAATATATGTGATCTGTTTTCTGTGAGTCTTCTTTTTTACCTTTGATATTTCCAAATAGTAGCCCAAAAGGTGCAAGCGAGATTGTAGAAACTACCTGTGTATGTCATACGTAGTTTCCATACACAAGAAAAGATCTGCATGAGGAAACAGGCTAGTTGTTGCCTGTGTGATTTGATCCTCAGTGTATTCTGAGTCCAACTACAATTAGGCAAACAATAAAAAATGAATAAAAACAAACAATAAAGACAACTGAATAAACAACTGACACTACAGAGCCAGGGAGGTTGATTGGTTTTGCATGGCACAACAACCCATGTCATTACCTGTAATGAGTTGTTATGTTGTAAGCACTCAGGCCGATTTCCCCATGGCAGCTTTGTATGCAACTGTTGAACTGTTGAAGCTGCAACTACTGAAGAGTGCAGCTTTGTGCCTCTTGACATATAATCCACAATCCACTAAGCTTGACATTTAATACTGGTGTCCAGTAGGCATCTAAGCAACGTCTAAGCCGTAAACTTCTAAACAGCTAGAAACTTACAGAATTGGACACCAGGCCACCTTAGTAACATTATTTATGCACCAAGACTGAACATAGAGACCAAATTAAGCAGAATCTAGGAGTGCCCAGCGGGGCTGACTGGGACATACTGAGAGTTATAGGCCTTTTCTCTGTCTAAACGTGCATAAGAATGTGCCATTAAAATCTAACACATTTATTATGCCATGAGCTTTCATGTCCCAGAGTATATTCATCCAGTGCATCATGCTGCAAAAACATTGTCACTTTTTTCTTGCAACAGACTTAGGATGGCATCCAACACAACAGGCAGTGAAGGCAGCATTGATTCCTACTCCCTCCTGGGGCCCAGTTTGGAACAGATTGGTAGGGCTGGAGAACCTTCCAGAGCATATTTGTCTTGGCTTAGGGAGGAGAGGAAGGGAGAGTCCTTGTGGGACACAGGAACACTTCTGGAAGTTTTAAACTTATGAATGGATGTGTTCCCTTTATTTTCAATGACTAGATGTGTGCATGAAAGACAACTGGCACCGCTTTATATTGGATGGATCAATATGGCCCTTGATCCATTTATCGTGATAATGCCTACACTACACTTTATAGTATCCCTCCATGTTTCCGACAGAAATCTTTCTCATCCCTACAAAAAGATGCTGAAAATGAAATGGAGACCTTTTGCTTGCAATGCACATGCTCTGTCACTGAGACTTTCCTTTGCTTTCTCATTTTGCTGTTATTGTGCCACTTACAATTTGGATTTTGTGATAACATTTAACAGAAAATTAATTGTGGAGATCACAAGGTTTCGTGTGAGATCAGAAAGCCCGAGTGTTTTCTAGAAATAGTAAACAGCTTCCAGGAAATTGTTAGGAAAATGTCAGCATATCTCTGTAGGATATTGTGTTATTTTGATTCTAGTATATTTTCTGATTTACCAAATAAATGAGGACCTTCCAGAAGAGAAAATCCATCAGCTGGAGGTAGCTGGGAATGTCCTACTAGATTCATCTCTGAAGCCATAGAGTCTTTAATACAATTGGAGTTGTGACAAGTTAACCTAAATGTCAGAGGAAACCTAAAAAAGACAAGGAAAAGTAAAAATAAAAACATTAGTATGCCTGCTTGGGAAAGTATCCATATCTCAAGTCCTCTCCCAATTCCTCACAGACTTCTATGGGCAGCAAACCCATGTTGAGATGCACTGCTTCTTAGTTTTGATTCATGTGAGCTTAAGAGCCTTTTTAAAATGGGGCTAGATGGCGGGAACTTTGGGCCTGTAACTGGTCTGCTAGCTTCACCTGTCAACTTCTGGCTGAGTCAAGCAGTTGTGTTCTATCGTGTCCCACTCCAGTTCTGAAATATCTATTAAATATATGGATACTGCTTCTTACCCTCTGCCTGACATAATTCACAAGGTAACCTTGAAACTATCACTGCCATGACCCCATCTTCTGCTCTTCTACTTCCTCCTCAGAACCAGGTGACTCTACTTGAGCAACTGTAATGGCCTTTCTCCAGTATAGCAGAACAATGCAAACACACAAGTGGAAAAACAGTTTCCTTTCACTTTCATGCCTAATACCATTTTTCCTGGCTCTGAAAACCTCACAGAAAGTGCTGTTAAAAACAGAAGTGAAACTGGAGGGTCGCAGCATCATCTGAAGAAGGTGTAAACAATCTTGAGTAGGGCATAGTGAGTGAGGTAGGTTATGCAAAGTCTGTGATTGGCCAAAACTCACCCAATGATCTTAATGGCCATAAACTTATGTCTTCCACTTCCAACATGCCAACTGTAACCACTGCACAAGACTGTCCTTTTTGCGAGTTTGATCTAATTTATGTCTAATTTAATCATTAGTTTTGCTTTTCTACAGATGAGTCATCCTCCAAGATTATCTTTTTTTTTTTCTGAATGTAATGCCAGGATCCTTAATTAAAATATGGTTGAAGATATCCATGCACAGATAAAATAAACAATTTATTTAAAACCTTAAACATACTTGCAGAATGTCACATTTACTACATTCCAGTAAGGCCTCTTAAAGCTCACAAAAGTATGAAAAGATTACATTTTTACGAAGCATGATCTCATGATTTTCTATTAATATAGTTTAGATGTTCCAGCCAAGGCTTGTCATGGGCTCCAATTTCCTGTCCAACATCTGTGCAAACACTCTAGAATTCTGCCTTGTGGGTTGCATGTGCATATATATATATACATATATGTTGGTCCTGAGGAACTTCAATCTCCATGTTGAGACCAAACACACTTGCGAGTTCACTATCGAGCCTATGCTGTGGCGGTGAGGGCGGCGAAGAAGAAATTCTTCTCCGCTTCCATTGCCTCCTCACAATGCCGTCCAGCAGAGCTCTTTTGGGTGGTACAGGGGCTGGTACATCCAGACCCTAAGAAAGATCCCGTACCACCCTCATTAGCCCACTGTGATGACTTTGCCAAGCATTTTAAGGAGAAAATCGCTCAGATTCGTCATGAGCTGGACTCCACTAGTGATTCAGAGCCCTTAGGGGAGGTGCCAATGTCTCCATCTGGCCTGACATTATTGGATGAGTTTCAGTTATTGCGGCCTGATGATGTGGACAAGGTGCTTGGACAAGTACGTCCCACCATCTGCCTATTGGACCCTTACTCATCTTGGCTACTTAACAATGCCAAGCATGGGATAGGGACCTGGATCCTGGAGGTTCCTCCTTTAAAGGAGGCGGTAGTCCAACCAGTCCTAAAGAAGGCATCCCTAGATCCAGAGATGGCCACCAATTATAGACCGGTGGCCAACATCCAGTTTTTGGGCAAGGTGTTGGAGCAGGTGGTTGCGGGACAACTCCAAACACTCTTGGATGAGACTGATTATCTGGACCCATTTCAGTCTAGCTTCAGACCTGGGTGTGATACTGAATCTGCCTTGGTCGCCCTGTATGATGACCTATGCAGGGACAGAGACAGGGGGAGTGCATCCCTGTTGGTCCTCCTGGACCTCTCAGCGGCTTTCAATACCATCAACCATGGTATCCTTCTGGATAGGCTAGCGGGATTGGGAGTAGAAGGCACTGCTTTGCAGTGCCTTCTGCTCCTATCTCAATGGCCGATTCCAGAAGGTGGTGCTGGGGGACTATAGCTCTATGTCGTGGCAGCTTTTCCATGGAGTTCCGCAGGGCTCTATTTTGTCCCCCTTGCTATTTAACATCTACATGAAAATGCTGGGAGAGGTCATCAGGAGGTTTGGGCTGCAGAGTCATCAGTATGCTGATGACACTCAGCTCTACCTCTCATTTGCATCTGCTCCAGGTGAGGCGGTGGCTGTACTGAACCGGTGCCTGGCTGAGGTAATGGGCTGGATGAGGACCAATAAACTGAGCCTCAATCCAGATAAGACAGAGGTCCTGTTGGTGGGTGGTGTGGGTCTCCAGTTAGGTGATTTTGACCCAGTTCTGCATGGGGTAGCACTCCCTGTAAAGGACAGGGTCCACAGCTTGGAGGTACTCCTTGACCCAGAGCTGTCATTGGAGTTCCAGGTGGCGGCAGTAGCAAGCAGTGCTTCCCTACAACTTTGACTGATCCATCAGCTGCGTCCTTACCTGGATGAGCACTCCCTAGCAACAGTGATACATGCTCTGGTTACTTCCCACTTGGATTACTGCAACGTGCTCTACGTGGGGCTGCCCTTGAAAACAGTCCAGATACTTCAGCTGGTACAGAACAGAGTTGCCAGGCTGCTGATGGGGACCAGCCATTATTCTCACATAATGCTGGTCCTCTATCAGCTCCACGGGCTCCCAGTTGAAGTCCAGGCCCAATTCAAGGTGCTGGTTTTAACCTATAAAGCCCTGAATGGCTTGGGACCAGGATATCTGAAGGAGCGCCTCTTTCCTTACATGCCGTCACGCCTCTTAAGATCTGCAGGAGAGGCTTTATTTGGTTTTGGTCTTTATTATTTTGAAGACCAAATTTCCCTGGATTCCTGCATAAAGACCTGCTTAAGAAATTGCATCACATGGTACAAAATAGCAGATAACTAGAAATCTTTTAAGCAACCAACTAAACAGCAGTGCACTGATGTTATCTGGGAGGCTATGATTATGTACAATCATATTCAGTAAATCCATGAAGGAATCTCATATTTGTATGTATGTATGTACGTATAACAACATGAGAAAGCAAGACTCTCTGGAGACAATCATGCTAGGGAAAGAAGAAATGGAAGACCAAATATGAGATGGAATGAATCCGTAAGGAAGCCACATCCTTGAAGTTAAAAGAGCTCCGTGGGCTGTTGTGGACAGGGCATTTTGGAGGACTTTCATTCATGGGGTTGCCATAAGTTGGAGATGACTTAGCAACACATAATAACAACAACACACATACATATATAAAATATAGGAGCAGTAGTTTCCAGTTATTTCTTATGCTGAAGCTCTCAAATTCCAATTAAATATGGATGCTTATATTTTTTCTGACCAATATATTATGCAAACACGCACTGTTTATATGGTATATCACATATTTCTAATATTTCATTAGATAGTGGGCTTCTGTTTTGTGCTGTTTTATTCTAGTGGTCCCATAAGCATGTCTATGATACATGAAGAGTTATGATTGGTAAGTTCTTTTATTTTCCCATAATTTTGATATACTGTTCTAAGTGTTCTTGGATAGTAGTTGTCACCTCTAGTGTGACTGCTGCTGTCATCAGTGCTTGTCAAGAGTCACAAGTTACAATAATGGGAAAGTAAAATAATGTAAACATTTTAAATCCAAGTTTTATGTGGCAAAAAAGATGACAAAGATGCATCAGTCTGGTAATGACATTCCCAAACCTGTTCAAGCCTAATTCTTAGTGGAGTGATTTGTGCTTATTCATTTCTCTCTTTTTAAAAAGTATGAGTATAGTGGAAATTTAGTCCAGTTTTGTCAGTGGATTTTAATGCTAACACTTGGACAACTTGCTTCTTTCTCCCTGCTCCACCTCGGCACTTATTACCAGAGGCATCAGATTCTGTGCTGGGACATCCAGTACTTCAGTAATGCTAATAATTAAATATTTATTCGTAACTCTGTTAAAAGAGCACATTCTCTAGCCTCAGTGCATAGATAGGCTGAGCTAGATGCTGATTTGAAACATGCAGTTAGATGCTTGTTATCACTAACTGTAGTGCAAAAAGTAATTACAGCAAATCAGTTAATTTGTAGCCATTAATTGCCAAGGTAACCATTATTGAATCAAAATTTTAAAATGAGTTGGTGAGGACACACATTGCAGATATGCCTACAGAAATCATAAAAGTCAGATTCCACTTAATGGCACGCTAAAGCTGCAATTACCTTTACTTGACCTTATTGTATATATTTTGCCACCAAAAGTACTATTCCTCAAGAGATTACATATTATGAGACATTACACTGTAGAACCTTAGTTGTTCTATCATTTACTCTTGTACCTCTGCATTGAATGGAGCACTTAAATTCAGTGCAAATAGAATACATTGCGGCACAATCAATGGGATATTTCAGAGAAACCATATACTCTATTGTAGTCTGCTCAAACATATCCACAAAATAGTAACTTACTGTCAGTGTCTTATTGCTGCATTCTAGTAGACAGTCGTCCTGTAAATCAGTAGTTCTTCACTCAGTTAAAAATCCTAATGATCGTCTAACAGGAACATTTTGCTTTGCTTTTCTCACTTTTGCAGAAGCCGTCTGGGATAACACACTGGCTTTAGGCATAATCCTTCTCACTTCATTGGCTCGGGGCCATCGTGGACAAAGATTACTCATTAACAATTTTTCTTCACTAAACTATCTAAACAGACTTGAAGTGCTGGAACTCTATAAAAGCCAAACAGAGCAAACCTTCTGGACAGGAAATACTTTTTATTGTAATCTATCCAAGGTTTTTATGCAGCAGCAATTAAAAAGCATATTGTTGAGTTTTGATTGAGACAATCAACAGCTTGTTGCCATTGCTCATCTGCGACCAATACCAAGAGGCATTCTGGGTACTGAAAAAGAAGAATATCTCTT